CTCAGCTCTGGAAACGCAGGGGCAGGCAGATCCCTGGGGCTCACTGGCCAGCCAGCCCGGTCTTTTAAGTGAGTTCTATGCCAGTTAGAGACCCTGTTTCCAAAAAACAAAGTGGACAGTGCCTGAGGAAGGACCCTGGAGGTTGACCTCTGGCCTCTACACACATGCATAGGCTCCTGCACACACATATGTGCTGTCACAGTGAGTGCTTTTTTTCTTTCTTTTTTTTTTTTTTTTTTTTTTTTTTTTTTTTTGTTTTTTAAAACAGGGTTTTCTTTGCACGGTTTCTCTGTGGCTTTGGAGGCTGTCCTGGAACTAGTACTTGTAGACCAGGCTGGTCTCGAACTCACAGAGATCTGCCTGCCTCTGCCTCCTGAGTGCTGGGTTAAAGGCGTGCACCACCACAGCCCGGCTCACAGTGAGTGCTTTTTAACTTAAGTTGTAGATTGGAGAATTCCACTGTGTACCATGTGTAGAAGCTTGGATATGCAGAAAGCACACCCACATTGTGTATTATCTGTGCACATGCCAATCCACCCTGGTGGACACAAAAATGCTGAGTTGTGCATGAGACATAAAACACCAAGCCAGAGAAGTATGTGAAGAGACAGCAGTGTGGGAAGTCTAGATGGCTGAAATGACCTCAATAATCTGGTGAGCTTAACGAGAACCTGGAGCAAACATCGGCTGGTGTTCTGCTTTCTAAAACTGTGTGATGGGTGGAATGCACAGTGCTGCCTTTTCATTACTCCCACTTCTTAAAATACAAGCACACACACACACACACACACACACGGACACACACATGAACACACACAGACACACACATATAGACACACAGGTAGACAGACACACAGGCACATACACACAGAAACACACGCACACACTCACACACACACACACACACACACACACACACACGGACACACACATGCACACACACAGACACACACATATGGACACACAGGTAGACAGACACACAGGCACATAGACACACATGGACACACATACACGGACACATAGGCACATACAAATGAACACACAGGCACACACACAGACACACCCATATGGACACACAGGTAGACAGACACATAGGCACATACAAATGAACACACAGGCACACACACAGACACACCCATATGGACACACAGGTAGACAGACACACAGTCACATAGACACACAGGCACACACAGGCACACACACACACACACAGGGACACACACATATGGACACACAGGTAGACAGACACACAGGCACACACACAGGCACACACACACACACACACACACACACACACACAGACACACACAGGGACGCACACATGGACACACAAGCACACACACAAGGACATGTAAACACATACATACCATGCTAACCCCAGGCTGGTTTTAAGAATCATGAACTGAATTGGGGTATAGAAACACAAAGCCCACTGAAAATGCCACCATTATATCTTTTTGTTGGTCATCTGGAACCATGGAAGCCAGAAGAGCCATACTTGTCTCTGTCCTCCACATCCTGGGAGTGTGAGAGGAAGCCATGACTAAAGTAAGACTTCTCATGTGGTTCCTCCCATTTGCAGTCGAGTTGTCCCGAGACAGGGTGTAGCCATTGAACCCGATGGCAGTAACGACAGGAGTGGATTTCGGATTGACTGCATCTTAATCAAAAATGATTTATATGGAAAGTACTGATGTCATAAATCAGTTTTCTGTTGTGGGTATTTCCTTCTTGGTTGACACAGACTTGGAAGGCAAGGCTTACCCTCAAAAGTAGGACAGTTGGGGGTCTGAAGATCAATGAGCAGAGCAGATTGCCCCTGCTCTCCACTTTCTGGGAGCTAGGGTTTCCAAAGACAAGTTCAGTGCAGGAACCTGCCCCATCTGCTTCAAGTTCAAGGTCAGTGCAGGCATCCACTGAGTGGATTTTTTGTTTTCATTTCCCATGTGGCATCGGCTCAGAGGCCTTATTAAAACTGCCTGTCACTGGTCTGCAGAAAGAAGTGAATATCCAACTGGGCACTAATCTTAATTCCTCATTGAACAGTAATTAAACTCTGAAGTTTAACTCAGTTAAGAGTAGTTTTTTTTTTTTTTTTTTTCCTTCTCTCCTTCCATCAAACAGATAGCATACTTGTCCTGGCAGGGGGCTCCCGACTCCCTAAGCCCTGCTTAAACATTTCTTTTTGTAATTATTTACCCAATCACCTGATATTGCCTCCCCCACTCCCATGGTAAAAGCCAAAGCTGTTAGAGCAAAGCTTATATTTCTTTCTTTTTTCACTAGTTTAGCAGGCTAAGTAATTTTGTTGAAGATTAAATTCATCGGCAAGCAGCTCACACTTATCCTAGGAAAAGAAGGAAAGAAGAAAACGGGAAAATGCCTAGCATCCCTTTAACTTGGCATGTTTACTGACTGTTTGGTGCATTTCCTTTTTTCCTCCTGGATCTTTTTTATATGTGCAGCTTTGGAGGAGGTTGGAGGTAGATTTTACATCATTTTAAAATACACCATAGTACCAGTTCTGTGCCTGCTTGCTTTTATTTTTAAAGAAAATGTTGTAAGCTTTCAGGCCAGTAGGGCTGGCTGTGTTTTGCTTTAGTTTTTAAGCCAACGGCAAATGAATCAAACTTTGCTGCATTTTCTTTGGCATGGTCCTTAATTAGTTTCTCTGCCTTTTTTTTTTTTTTTTCCCTGATGCAGGGCTCAAGAGCTGCATGTTGTGGCAGAAAGGACGGTGTCCTGAAGTTCTCACTGCTTTAGCTTTTAATCCTGGCTTCACCTCCTGCAGCTGTGCCTTAGACAAGTTCGTTTAGGAAATACAGATGTGCTCCATGTTGTATACTGTCATTATTTCATCTGTTTGACACAACGCTATTAGCCTCCGGGAACCCTTGTTTCCTCCCCTGTAAAAGGATATTAAAGTACAAGGCTAGTGCAATTCCTGGAGGACATGTATGAAGTGCGTACCACCAAGCAAACAGTCACTGGATGGTGTCTATTTTAGTGACTTAGGAAAAACCCTCATAGATTTAAACAGACCAGTATAAGTTTATACACACGCTATCAATGGCAGAACAGAGAGAGGTCAGTTCACTTCTAAAGGAAGTGAGTTTAGTATGTCAACTAAAGGACTTCTGAATGATTTCAGAGTAGCGGCTCTTCTCCTCTGGAACCTGTTTAAGACTAAGAAATTGAGACAATGGAAAGAGGGGAGGAAGAAGGGGAAAGAGGCAAAGGAAAGGAAGGGGTGTGTGTGTGTGTGTGTGTGTGTGTGTGTGTGTCAGAAGAAAAGAGAGATGGAGAGAGAGGGAGGGGAGGGATGGTAGAGAGAGACAGGTTAAAATATATATGCAGGATGAATTGCTTGGGAGAAATGCAAGTTTTTAAAAATAGGTGAGTGTGTTAGCCAAGCCTAAGGGGAACTTTGCCATATGCAATAGAAGAGAAGGACTCTGGATAACATGGTGTCAGGGTGGTGGTGGGGCAAATGGGTGCTAAGACAGGCAGGGCAGTCTCCATGAGTGTATTCCAACATACAGACCTTTTAGGAACACTAGTAGTCCTGGCCCCACTGGGAGGTATGGAAAGGTTTGTGTTCTCACAAAACCAGGGGGTCAAACTAAAAGGGCTTTATTCTCCAAAATCCTAAATGGTTGCCCCAACTGTTTCCATATCATTTCCACTTCAAAGAGAAGGATGTGGAACTCGGGGGGGGGGGGGGAAGCAAGGGTGGGAGCAAGGTTGGGTCTCTATAATGCGTTGAGGTAACTACCCACTGGATGAATGCCTCACCTCTGGGTTTGCCTTTCTAATCTTTTAAATAAACACCACAGACAAAAAAAGCCCACATATTCTATAACAAATCATATATATTCAGCAACACTAAGATGCATTCACTTGGGTTTCTCTTTTCTCAGTTGGTTTTCAGGGATCTTGTTTAAATGAATTCTCCACAAGTTCTAGAGTTCATAGAGTGTGTTGTGGCTAATGAAAGACGAGACAAGAACTTGGATTTGGAGACAGACAGGCAGACAGGGGCTGTCCCAGTGGGTTCTTGTGACTTAGAGACAAGACAGAAAGCTGTGCCCGGTGCTGTGCTCTTGGAGTGTTCCTCATTAAGGAGACATACTTTGAACCATGGAGAAGAAGTGGAAACCCTTTAATGTTTTCAGTGTGATGGTTGAAGCTGGTGTGTGACACTCCTGGTCCAAGTCCCTGTTCTGTAAGCTTAGGGTTTATCTTCTAAAAGAGTTGCCAGCTGAGTGTCTTGTGGGCCAAATCCAAAGCCGGGACATTCCTTGGCGATGAATGTGTTTGTAGAGGCCCCACCTTCACCCCTTTTCTCTGTCACATATATTTGATTTGGTCCCACGTAAAATAATTTCCCAAATCTGAAGCCCAAGTGTTTCCCTTCCTTGGTAGCTACAATCAGTGTTCAACCCACCCTATTGTTTGTTTCTGGAATGCGAAAAAGCTTCATCCTCATGGGAAGATTTACATCTGAGATATCTCCCCAGTATTGTAAAGTATTCCTCTTTATCAAATACTACAAGTGAGACCCTGTCTTAACAGAGTTAGAAAGAGATTCTTTTTGAATGGGGGGAGCAGCATTAATATAAAAGTCTTGGAGATAGCTATAAAGCACAGCTGTAAAAACTGGAAGTGTAGTTAAAATGAGAAGAGCAAGTGGGGAGACATTAAACACAAACACAGTTCCAACATGAAGCCAAAACTATTTTTAAAGTATTTAAATATAAAACAATGAAGCAAGAAGGGAATGAAATGATGGAAACGATTGCTAAGAATTCGGTACAGTTGGAGAAGCCTCCAGCAGGGCCATGCAGCTCAGAGAACAGCGCTCTTTCTCATGTTCTGTGTCTAAGTGTTTTCTCTAAGAGCGGGGCTTAGCTTTCAAAGGAATCTTGAGAACGAATCACCACATACATGTGCTACTTAAAGCAATCTATTGTGAATGCTGTATATCCATCATCTCCTACCTTTGAAGTTTTAAACTCTGACATTCTCAAAGCGATGGAAGAGAATCCTGGTCAAGCCCCAGGGTAGAAACTGTAAGAAGAAAAAGTCAGGTTGAGTTTCCCCTTATGTGGATGGTAGTGAGTGGCTTCAACTCCTTATTGAACACAACAGGCCTTTATTTTGAAACAGTGTCTCCTCTGTGAGAAAGTGGATGAAAACAGGGAGCTCATAGCAGATGAGTTTCTGACTGTAAGGAACAAACAGCAGTGCCTAATCAGATTTCTCAGAGCCAGAGGAGCAGCGTGGCAGTCCACACAGACAGGCGGATGCCAACTGGATCCAAACCTGCTGAAAACATTGTTTGTGAACGAGACTCCTTTAAATATCTTTCTGGGTCTGTTGCAAGCATTTTGATTATGGGTTTCCCCCCACGCTGCACCGGCTTTGCTAATAACATCACAGATATTATAGTTCTGAATTCCATGGCTTGTTCGAACTGGCATAACCTGTTTATTCTTCTTCCAAGAAATGTTTTGTGTCTAAGCTTATTCCCTCCTGTTGTGATGCGGATTGATAACAAAGGATCTCCAAGACTCTAGTGTTTCAGATTAGGAAAAAATAACCAAAACAATAATAACAACAACAACAAACCTTTCCATAGTAAATGAAACAAAAATGCTTCTAGCAGCCACTTGGCTACAGCATTTATGCTTCTTGACCCTTACAGCAGATTTCCACAAAGGAATTTAAGGGTAGAATACAGGACTATTTCTGTAAAGAGAAGAAAAAAACCCTGACCTTTTCTGAGCAACTTTGTCACCTATGTAATATTTTTTCTCTGTTCTTGTTTTAATTGTGATGGGAGGGTGTGCGTGTGCAGGGGCATGGTTATGTGTCCATAAGTGCAGGTGTCCATGAAGGCCAGAAGGGGGCATCCAATCTCCCCAGAGTTGGATTTCAGGTAGCTATGGGTTATGAGCTGCCCAGCATGGGTGCTAGGAACCAAACAGGTCCTCTGGAAGAGCAGTATGCACTCTTTATTGCTGATCTATTCTTATTTTAACTAGTGGCCAGAAAGTTCTTGTTTCAAATAATTATATTTTTCCTTGGGTAATTAAAATTGCTACTTAGTATAAAAAAATGACCACGGTGAGGTACATTAATGTAACTTGATTTAGAATGCCACCATCGTGCTCGTCATAAGATCTGGAGACTGTGGTGAAAGTGTTCTCCTCCTTTCCTTTCAATTTCCAAATAGTTTCCTCTTTTAATCAGTGAGCATCACAATACTGTTTCTTCCCTTCATGGAAGGAAAAGGCAGGGCTATCTAATTCAAGGTGTAGAGACTTGCCAGGGTTTGAGGGAATAACTTTGTAACAATATAGAAGTAGTTCCTGTTTTTCTGTGTACAGGAGATAAAAGATGGGCAAGTATGTGCCAAGGCAGACCCCTGTTCGTCCTTGTCTTAAGTTAAACCCTGGGTAGAGGAGGAGGCTCTTGGTCACTATGGGTCCTCATTTCCCAGGTGTTGATCACAGTAGGGTTCTTTATGGCCTGTGCCTCTGAGACATAAGAAGACATCTCTCAGAAAAACAAAGAAATTGTAAAGCTGTTACCTTCTGAATGTCCTTTTAATGGATTATCACCATGACAAACCAATCCCAAGAACTTCAATGTTACAACAGCTGTGTTCTCAGGTTAACAATATTCCACTGTCATAGAGAGAAGTTTCTCCCCTTCCTAGTCTTCTAACACTTTAGTGTTAAGAGGATTTACATTTGTATCGACTGCATCACATAATACACAGCCTTGTCTAAGAGAATGGCCAATGAATAATTGCTCTTAAAAAAAAAAAACAGAAAGCTGTATCATTTCATGGAAAGTGATCTCAAGTACACTTTATTTTTGCGTCTCAGAAAGAAAAAACTGACAATATGGTATTGAGCAGCTCTGCCTGTGTTTGGCCTGATTTAAGGCACCGGTCCTCTGCCAGTTTACAATGTCAGTTCTTTTCTACTCCAGTGTTAGCATGTGAATTAATTCATTCTCATTTAACATTTCCTGAAGTCTTGATGACCTACCAATTCCTTCTTCTACAGATACAGCAGAGGATGGCTAATTGCTTTCCCCTGAGAACACATGGCTTCCTCTCTATTTGCTCTGGGGACAAGTTCCTGAGAACAGCTGAGGCAAACTGTATACTCTTCATCCCCTTGACATCTGGTTCTTTCAGAAATGACTATGTTGTGTCACTAGCCAAATACCACACACCATGCAAAAGTGTCTGTCACAACCATCCTTCAAAAAGACTAGAATTCTAAATTCCACAGTGCACACATCTCTCAAGTTTAAATTCTATGGTTACGGAAGAGAACTCCAGACGCTCCCTCAACTCTATCCTGTAGGACCGTTTATGGTTGTATAGATTCACACACCACCATCAGGCAACATGTGATCCGGGGTAAGGCCAGCGGGACAGGAAGGCATCTCAAACAAGATGTGCCCTCATGTTCCTTGACTCATAGGCAACTAGTGGGGCAGCACTAAGGTGCTCACTTCAGAGTTGGTGAGGGTTTCTATTGCTATGAAGAACCATGACCACAGCAACTCTTATAAAGGAAAACACTTAATTAGGGCTGGTTTTACAGTATTAGAGGTTTAGTCCATTATCAGAGTGGCATGAAGCAGGGTGTTACACAAGCAGACATGGTGCTGGAGAGATGTTGAGTTCTACATCTTGATCCAGAGGAAGCAGAAGTGAATGCCAAGCTTGAGCCAGTTCTGAGACCTCAAAGCCCACCCCCACAGCGCCACTTCCTCCAACAAGGCTACACCTACTCCAGCAGGGCTGGAGCTCCTAACATTCCAAACATTCAAACACAGCAGTCTACGGGGGCCATTCCTATTCAAACCACCCCAGGGCCTGTCCTTAAGTGTGGTTAATATACCTAGGGAAACTCCACTGGAGAAAACACTGCAGATAGCTTCTTCATCATGTGTGGGAGCCTGTGTCCATCCCCCTCTGTCAGTTTTAGGAGCCTCATCTGGCTTGACCCTGTGCATGCTGCTACTGTCTCTTTGAGAACATATATGTGTCAGTCCTGTTGTGTTGGCTTTTATAACCTTTCCACTTCCTCTTCCCAAGGCTCCCTGTGCCCTGAGAGGGGGAGTTTGATGATGACTTCCCATAAAGGACTGTGTGTTCCAAAATCTCTCCATCTCTGTATACTGTCCAGCTGTGGGGCCCTGTATCTTTTCTGAAAAGCAGTGCATGTAGATGTATGGGCCTAATTTTGAGTTTGCTGATCTGTTTGGTTATTTTGTTTATCTCAATTGTCAAAACTTTATAGAAAAATCTCAAAATTGGTTGGATTTTTTTCACCATTTTACATTGCTTTGGCTGCATTAGGACTATTGTATTTCTACAAAAATCTCAGAATTAGTGTCTCAATTTATTTTTAATTCTTCTAAAAACAACAGTTGGGAGTTTTAGTACTGATCTTGGGAGATCAATTTGTGGACATTGAACATCTTAATACTGGATCTGTAAGCATGAATATAAGGTAACGGTTTCCATAAAAAAAAAAAGAAATGTACTTTGAATCTTGATCAGTTTGCTTTGATTTTTGAAAAGTCAGTCACTCACACTCCCTGTACCTGGGCTTCTTGAACTATGAAAAGGGATGCTTATTGGGGCCTTACTTTGAAGAATTAATACAAGGGCCAAAGGAGAACTTAGGGCAGTGCCTAACATTGGGTGCATGTCCACTGTGGTGGTTATTTCTTGGCATGTAGGAATAAAACTGGTTAGAAGATAGCACCTGCTTCAGCCATTTTTCTTACCCTAAGAGCTCATCTGAATTTCCTGTCCCCTCTGTCTCAGTCTCCTCACTGTGAGTGGAAGATGGTAGGTCTTTTGGGATCTTACAAGACTTCCATGAGCTAACAAAAGCAGGTTACTCCCATGCATCCTGCAAACCCTGGTAGGCTGATTAACATGATGTCTTATGCTGCAAGGTGATACCTAGTAAGCCCTGATGTGCTCAGACACTGGGCTGGGACCCTTTTCATCTCCATGAGGACCCCAGGAGGTATCTATGGTTAACTGCTTGCCTTTTCAAGTGAGGAAACTGAGGCAGAGAGTCTTGGTGTTAGTTACAAAGCTGCAGCAGAATTAAGCACTGAGTCCAACAGACTGGCCATAAAATGGAAAAGGCTATTGCTTCTTCCTCAACTGCCCCACGAGCTAGGATGGCAGACGGCAGCCCATGGACCGAGCAACTGTTTGGTTAAACAAGAACCCTGGGGAAGCAATCACCCAGTGTGGCCCCGGCACTGACCTGCTGTTTAGCTGGGCAGAGGGCAGTTAGGAAGAAGCTTCCCCATGGAAGAGGAGGTGCTGCTCTCAGTCACAGTACCTGGCACCAGCTACAGTTGAGTCATCGAGAATTGCCTGCATAGCCACCAGAGGATAATGTGGAAGGCATTTAGCAATCCATATGAACACGTAAGCCCCGGGAAGTAATGAGCAACCTGCCACTTCAGTTAACACAAAGGGAGATCACTCTGTGCAAACTCGGGCGTTTGTGAAGACAACTGTGTTCAAGGACAAAGGGCATGTGATACTTGGGTTTGGAAATATTTAATAGGCAAGTCAGACGAAGATGGGGAAAGGAGTGACATGGAAAGATTTAGTTGCGCAGGGCTCCAAACGAGGGGGGGGGGTCGGTGGGTAAGAACGGATGAAGTATGGCATCTCAGCCCCTGAGCTCCCAGCTGCTCTGTGAGTGATCGTGTGGGGCTTCAGGGTCCATTTTTCCTTGTTTGCAGCATATTCATGTGGATTCTTAACTGAGATTGCAAACCACAGTGGCTGCTACAATGTACTAGAAAATGCACTGATTAGGGTCAGAAGAGAAGACTTTAGGCTGGGAAGATGGGTCAGTGAGCTACACAAGCCCTAGGACCTAAACGTGGATATCCAGAACCCATGTAAATGCTAGGAGGACATAGTGACCTAGGCTCAAAAGGTAGAAACACAGGATCCCTGGAGCCGATGGGCTATCGAGGGTGGCGGTGTGGCTGATCTCTGGGTTCATTTCAAAGACAAGGTGGAGTGTCGTCAAGGAAGACTCCTGCCAACCTTGTGCCTCTGCATGTACACGTGCATGCGTGCAGTGTGTACACACACACGCACACACAAAACCTGTGGGCATACATATAAAAAAAAATGTGTGTACAACCAAAGACACACACACCTGAGAGTGTAAGCCCTCTTCTCCCTCCTGGTAAAAATGGACCATAAGTCATTTACTCTTCGCCTCACTCTATTTATAAGGTGAAAAACAGGAAGCTACTCAAAGTGAGAATGCACACAGAAGACCTTTATAAAGTGCTCCCTACCACATACATATGAGGAACTCAGAGGGTGGAAGAAGAGAGGAAATTTAAATGGAAGCCCCTGAGTCTTCCTTCCGGGCCTGAGGTCAAGGCTTCCTCAATTGCTTACCTCGTGACAATTCCGTGATGCCATTTACATTTCTGAACTCCGCATAGCTTATCTACATCTGGCTGATAGCACTGAACTACAACCATAGACACGGATGAGCAAAAACAGACTGTGGTCCGAATCAAATCTGTGAGGGCTCTGGGAATCACACAAAATGAATATGTGTTAGCTGGTCAATTTAATACGTACTTGTCTTCCTGGAGGAGACACAGCCATGATGTGTGGGTTGAGGGGTGTTTTAATGGGGTGCTCTATCAGACGGTGCCTGGATGTTCCTGCTGGTCATAGGGTTTGGGTCGAAATTAAGCATACTGGAACGATGATCCTTCTCCTTTACGGCACTGTTTGTCTGAAAATGTTAAGACATAGACAGAAAGGAGGAAATGACAGGCCTGTGATTCACAGTGCCCCAAACTAAGAAAAGGTAGGTTTCCCTTGTGGTTCTCAAACCCCAAAACAGCACAGAAACCCAGTGTTTAAATGTTAATTAGCTTCAGCCCATCAGATGTTCACAGTGAAAACTTCATGGATGCATCACGTCCAAGAAACCAAGTGCTCTCTTCCCTCCATCTGCTTAGAAAAGATACAGGTCTCTTTCCAAAGTGTGCTCCCTGTAGGGTGTGTCCTAGCTTTATCTGTAACCCTCACCTTCCACGGGGGACAATGAGAACTGTTTCAGAGGAAAGGAAAAATCTCTGGTTTCCTGAGATAAAAGACTAGCTTATCTTGTCTCTTACTCTGTGTGCTGTAGCCAGCTTTCAGCCTCCATTGACTCTCCACAGCTCAAAGCAGAAAAAGTGGTTAATGAGGTGTCTGATATGCTCCCCAACAATTTAATTAACAAGAAAGTAGTCATGCATCTGAGGCAGTGTCTGGACACAGGGCACCTGTTTCTCTAGTGTTTCTTTAAACATGTTTTTTACCAGAGAGCAAGAGAGAGCTCATGGCACTCCATTTTATAAATAGTAATAACTGGGTCATTCCGCACAGTGTTCAGTTAGGGAAAAGACTGAGGAATTCACTAAAATGCAGTCTGAACCTCTGATGAGAATTCAGATTCCTTGTGCTCTTCCAAGATCAGACAGATAATGGAAAATTAATTTTGATGCTAATAATATGCTTATGTTGGCAATGGTCAGCCGTCTGTCCATATGGCCTGGGCTTTGTTCATGTGTTTACTTTGTCATTCTAAACCTTCAAGTAGGTTTTAAAACACTACAGTATCCCCACCAGCCCCTGCCCCTGGTGTCTACCTTCCTTTCAAAAATCCATTTTTCATGATTTTGTTTTCTATGCAAATGGAGGAATTGAGTAAGAGGGCCCTGTGTAAAAAATGGAAGTGGATTAAAACCCAGGGTTTCAGGGAACTTTGATACTGGAGGTTCTTGAGTGTCTCTGCAAAGTAGGGCTGTGTCAGACCCAAGTCTTGTGAATGAGCTGTCACACCAACATTGCATGTGCAGTGCGCTCTGTCCAGAGAGTGGAAGGGTTTAAGGTTCTAAAAATATTGCCATTACTATTCCAACCATACAGGGGTGCACAGGGACATTTGACATCTTTTTCTCTCAGGCATTCCTTTTTCAGGTTATAAAAAAAAAAACAAAAGGTGACGTGCTCCAGCTCTGGGCAGCTCCTCCCCAGAGAAATATGCAAACTGCAATACTCAAAGCTAACACATTCTAACGATATGCAAATCAGATCCACCTTGGTAACAATCGGTTTGTAGCCCGAGGTGTTTTGTAACTAGGTGAAGCTCCTCCTGTCCATGGAGTTTGTAATGGAGTCTGACTGTGGTAGAGAGGATACTTCAGAATCAAGGAAGATTTTAGGATGAGAGGGGCCGTATGTGCTCTGTCTCTGGATCTCCATTACCCCGATAGAACCCCAATCCATCTATCACTTAGTGTCTTTGAGGTCTTGACCCAAATTACTGGAGCCTCTTTCCCTTAGTGTACTCGTCTACCAAAAGGTGTTGTAGAACTTTCCTCATTGCACAGACACAGAGGTTAGGCAAACTGGCTTGTTGATGGGTAGAACAGAACCGGGCATCTAATTCATTGTTAGCTATCATTATGAATGTGTTGTTACTGTCTCACAAATAATGAAATCAAGATTAAGAGAGGACATGCTATGGTGGTGGGTGAAGTCAGGAACTCTGGTCCTCGCAGCAGCTCCTCTCGCAGCTGCTCACAATTCCTCTCAGCCAGGGCTCTAGCTGGGTTTCTGTTCTCTAGTCTCAGACAAGAGTTTTGTTTATTCTACTATGGCTTTGCCAAGGAAGACATAAATTGTTATCACTGATCATTAGGGAAAGCCTAATTTGATTTTGTTGTTGACAGGCTCTTACGTGTCCCAGGATGGACTTGAGCTTCATCTCCCAAGTGCTGTGATTGCATGCCTGTGACACACAATGCATGTGACACCATGCCTGCTTTATGTGGGACCAGGGACTGGATTGTGGTTTCTACATGGCAGGTACGCTCCCTATGAACCGAGTCCCAGTGCTAGCCCAAGGCCAACTCTTCACCAGTGAAAGGATCAAGTTCCCTTCTGCATGAGACTTGGAAACTGTGTTGGGTAGTTTTGTATGGCCTCCCTGCCAATCAGAAGACACTAGAAGAAAAACAGAACAAGCAGGCAAAAAGTCTGCCACCACCAACAAAACCCAATATCCACAAACCTGCCAGAAAGGAAGAGATGGAGAGGAGTTGGGTGTGTGACTCAGTGGTTGCACATGTGTCTAGCAGGTGTGAAGCTCTGGGTTCAAGCCCCAGTACAAAAACAGAAAAGAGAAGGAGGCCGGTACCTAGTTCTCAAAGAACTCAAGTCTGCTCTGACTGTTTCTCGAGCTGGATACATGAGGACATAGTAAGAGTACTTGGTGTGTAAGTAAAGTAGAGATGCAGTCTGCCTGGCATCGTCTTACCTGAGGAACCCCTCCCTGGAAAAGTTAAGTAAGAGCACTTTGTGTACAGATTAACAGAAATGCGGTCTGCCTGGCACCGTGTTACCTGAGGAACCCCTCCCTGGAGAAATTAAGCAGAAACAAAAGGACAAACCACGTGGAAGAATTGTCCCAACTTCCTGTCTACGAAACTCCTGCCCACTCTGCCTTTCAGGTCACAGCACCAGGTGCTGGAGGCAGCATGCAAAGGACACACACGAAGGCAGGTTATTTGCATATGAAGATGGATAAATCAAATCTACACTGGGCAAGTCAGCCATCCGTGCTTGTAAACAACTTTTCAGTTAGGCTTTGGGAATGAGGAACATGATATCCTCTCTACAAACTCGTGTGGCTTTCTTATTTAAAGTAAGTTTTTGGTTTTGTTCAGACATTTTCTGACTCTAGGTTGAATGTTAGAAAGGGAGGGGTCATCTATGCTCAGAAGATCTTGGCATCTCACATTTGGTTCTTGAACCCTCGATCTCTGAATTATCTAGATGACCTGGGATAACTCATCTACCATCCCCTGACTCCGTATGAGGTGATGAGGAGGTGATAACAGGGATGTGGGATGGGTTAGTTCCATCAAACCTGGGCACACAGTGAGCTCAGAATAAATACCTACCTGGATGATGTTTAAGACAATAATGCTTTTTTCTTGCAGTGATATACCTTGGTCTTTTAAAAGTAATACCACCACCACCAAAGACATCAACTAACTTACATGTTCATTTAGAAAGAACATATTGAGGTTGTATTGAAAACCTATGATAGCATGGTGGGTGTTGTGAGGGAAACAGAGGTAATTACAACACAAACACAGCTCCTGGGGGGCTTCCTGTCTTCCAGAAGAGAGGTGGAGAGGGATCCCCAAAATAAATGAATACAAATGCTAGATACTAGATCGCATGTGAAGTAGCTAGACCTCAAATACTCCTATGGCTACTATTATTCTTTGATATTTTCAGCTGTGGCACAGACTAGCAATGCTGCTAATCCACCCATGTGTGCTGGTTTGCAGGTGAGGGAACAAGGGCTGAGCCCACAGCTGTTGGAGTCCTCAGCCTTTCTATTGCACCTCCATAATTCCAGGCTGTGGAATTTGTGGCCTTTGGTTTGGGAGTTGGAAGTTTCCGAGGATGGCTGTAATCAAGGAGGGGCGGAAATAGGAAAAATTGTGAAGAGATGTTTAGAAAATGGGAGGGGAAAGCTCTCAAAGTTAACTGGGATAATTGGGGTGTAGATTAGAGGGCTAAGGCTGGGAGAAGATGAGGAAGAATTGGGGTCTTCCTCATGAGCATACCATTCGGTGGGTGTCTCTGGGAGCTGTCGGCAGAGAGGAGCAGCACAGATGTCCAAGACTCAGTAGAAAGAAGGTCTCACTCGGTGTCCCCTGTCTACCCAGGCAGGGGAGGGGCGGAAAGGCATCTCCATGTCCCAACCCAAGGTAAACAGAAAGCCAGAGAGGCCATTAAAGCAGAAACAGATGAGGATAATTAGAAGGGATCGCTCCAAAGGCTAGAAGGAGGCAATGAAACTAAAACAAAGGATAGAGCTATTTCTATCTCTTGATGTCTGGAAATGCAGTCGTTTCGGTCCAGACCATGCTACCACACCCTGAGTAAGACAAACTTTCTCATCACTGGCCCCTCTTTGGTACCCGTGGCATCCCTGGGTTCTCCTACCACACTGCCCAAATAGATGCTCAAAGGACATCTCCAGTTGCAAGGTCTGCATATTCCTCTGGCAGGACTTCACGTTGGTGAGTTACTGTCCACCAGAAAACTCGCTCCCACCCCAAGATTCACCTTTACAGTCTGGCAGTATGAAATCTAATTAGTGAACTAAATTAGAAAGGAGCCTCCAGGACACAGATACAATGGTCCACACCTCTAATCCAAGCACTCAGGAGGCTGAAGCAGCTCAAGTAGCCTGAGCTACACAGGCAAGGCCAGCCTGATCTGCAGAGTAAGACTGTCTCAATGGCTGGTAACAAAACTTAACTCTTAGGTTTTCTTGAGGAAATGCCTTGTTCTCTGTCTCTTTTTTCTCTTCTCTTTCAACTTCTCAAATGAGTCGGTTTTTAGTGAAGGGATGTCACAGCCATTGTGGAAGGGAAAGGACATACTTGGTCCATAGCATCCAGCAGAAAGCCCAGGGAGCATCGTCAGTGGAAGTCCTGGAGCTGTCAGGGTTAGTGTCCATCACTTGTACTGATTTAGGATGAAGTATCCTGTATCCTTTATGAGAGAGCATAGGGTCATAAAAGCAGGGAGTCCTGGAAACATTCCAAAAAGAGGGATGGAAAGGCAATAAAACTGAATTCCCTTTTTTTTTTTTTTTTTTTTTTTTTTTTGGAGAGGGGGGGGGAGGGTTTTAAGGTTAGTGTCCATCACTTGTACTGATTTAGGATGAAGTATCCTGTATCCTTTATGAGAGAGCATAGGGTCATAAAAGCAGGGAGTCCTGGAAACATTCCAAAAAGAGGGATGGAAAGGCAATAAAACTGAATTCCCTTTTTTTTTTTTTTTTTTTCCTGTTGGAGAAGGGGGGGGAAGCTGTTAAAGCAAATAGTACAGCCCACCTTTCTGTATTCACCTGAATCCGTGGCCCTTTGACCTTGTGGCTGTGACTTCATTAGACATGACTGAGAAGTGACAATTGCTTAATTCGACTTTACATGAAACATGAAAGCCCTCCCTCATCGGGTGGAAATTTCCATATGTAACCCCAAATCCTTGACGTGATACTGTTATAAAACACTGACATCATCCTACACAGCTTGGCACACTCGATTCGGAAGAGTACCAGTGTAGGTGCTGCAGGTCATGACTGAGGTTCTTTTGGCCGTGTTGCCCATGGGAAACTTCTTGGGTGTTTTGGAGTCCAGGTGCTACAAATTTCTAAATTGTGTTTTGAAAGAATGTATCATGTTTATGGGTGGAAGAAAGGGACACCCGCCATGGGTCAATAAGTAAGCTGACCCTTTTCAACTCTTTCTTTACTGATTCTGTTTTGGACTTGCCAAGCTACATTGGGCAAATTCTGGAAGCTGCTTCAGCTTTTACCCCCTCTATGTGCAGTAAAGGGCAATGGTGATGCCTCAGCCACCTGAGTGAGAATTATGAGTTGCAGCATGCAGTCAGGACCTCCACGATGCAATGACAGCTGCCCGGTCATAATTATGTTGTAATTCTAACAGCCATAGTTAATTCTCAGACAAAGGAATGGGACTCCATAAACCTTCTCTGCTTTGGTGAGGAACAGAAAGAGGATTTCATGTTGTGTGTGTGGGTGGTGGTGGTGGAGGGTAGATATCATGTAGCCCAGGCTGTCCTCAAGCTCACATGGCTGGACTAGAGCTCCTGGTCCTCCACTTTAGTCTCCTAAATGCTGACATTACAGGCCTGAGGTACTGTGATAAGCAGAAATAATGGAGGGAGTTTCTTGGTTGTTATTTCATTTTATTAATTTTGGTGTTTTTAAGACCAAAATTTTTAAGTCTTAAATGTTTTAAATCTCGTATAGCCCAGCCAGACTTACATAACAGAGAGTGGCCTTAACTCCCGACCCTCCAGGTTCAGTCTCCTAAGTGCTGAAGTACAGGCATGTGCCCCATCCCTGGCCTTGTAATGGGAGGACATCAGCAGGCCCCCTAGTAAAACAAAAGGGTTAGATTTCTCATTATTTTTCTTAACCACCTTTTATTCTGTTCTCTCTGAATAAAAGTACTGCGGGGGCTACAAGAATGAGGTCAGGAGCCATCAGCCACCCACTCTACCCCTCTACCCCCATTTTGCCTCACACACACCCTTTAACTCTGTGCTACGGCCTCTGGTATTGACAAATAACATGCTTTATTGATATTCTTACTTTCCCTGTATCTTTCAATATTAGTACTGACCTCTAAGTATAGGAGGTAAGAAAACCTCTCTTTCCCTGCCCCTTTCCCTCCCTCCCTCCCTTCCTCCTCCCTTCCCACCCCTATCTTCTTCTCCCTTTCTCCCTCATTCTCTCTCCCTCCCTCCCTCCCCTCTTCCTCCCCCTCTCTTTTCTTCTCTCTCTCCCTCCCTCCCCACCCATCCTCTCATTTTCCCAGGGAACTGCTTTCTCCTCAGAGTCTGTTTTCCCATCATTTCTCTTCTGAGTCTTGAGATATACTGTGATTACATTTCCTTCATTGCACAACTTTTGGGTTTTGCTAAGAAGGAACACATGGTTTTGGTTTGTTGGGCCCCCTCACAGATGAGGGGTCACCAACGGCGCCACGCTATTTCCCACAGTTCTGGAGGTTGCAAGGCCCAGATGTGAGCTCTGCTCAGACATGGGCCTCCTCTGAGCTGTCAACTCCTGTCTCCCTCGTCAGAGAGAGGGCACCCTTTGTGTTAGGGGCACTTACCTCATCCTCAAAGGCTTCACCCAGGTGCCCTGAGTACTTGTGCTTTGTTCTTGTGTGAGGTCCCTCTTACTCACTGTTTGGTGCCCACCCCACCCCCACCCCCGGCTTCCTTTGCCCACACTCACCTGCCATTCAAATATACTGACTGGAAATTTCAGGGAACAATCATTTGAGATTGTGCAGCCTTCTGAGTGGCCTGAGGAAGGCTCTTATGCCCCCCTCCCCCACACACACAGCTGCTCAGTCCCTCCCCGGATGTGACTCAGCATTAACTAAGTATGTGCACGCTAAGTTAAGTTATTCACTGGTCAGTCACGTGGCACCTGGATCAGCTCCACTGTTATGAGGCAGCAGTTTTGTGTTCAGGTGGTTATCCTTCCTTGCTAGGGGCTCCGAAGAGCACAATATGCTCCTAGGAAAGTGTGAAGTGTGCACTGTGAGCCCTGAGCTCAGTAGGAAAACCTCACAGGCATGGCAACTCCTGTGGTTCCCAGCTCCCACTGGGCAACCACCTCTCAGAGATGAGCTTTCAGCCAACCTGACCAGCGTGGTCTCAGGCTCCTGAGCCACTGTGTGACAGTACAGATGGAGTTCCAGAAGACTAGGGATAGAAAGGACCCTTTCTGGAGAGCAGACTTGGTGGGGGTGGGCATCCTTTGTCTTGGCTGGAGCACTGCTACTACCATGAACTTGGAGGCCACGGGCCACATGCAGATGGACTAAGGGGTGGAAGGGTCAGGGTCCTTAGGAGTGACACTTTATGGCAGCTCCTGATACAGCCCACAGTGTACAGCTGGGCCCTTGTCACTGCCTTGCAGTGTTTTGGAGGCTTTATCGGTGCCCTCTCTCTCCTTGTGGGGGCTGTTGTTGAGACTATCTTTGGCTTTGTTTCTGTGTTCTCTCTGGAAGCCTCCACCCTTCTGAGTTCATGATGGTCTGCGTAGCTGTGGCCCTTTTCAGTCATAGTGGCTAAACTTTGCCTCCACAAATAAGAATTCATACATCTCCGTTCTGGGAACTTTTCTTCATTTCTTGGGTGTTTTCTTCTATTTCCGGAGCTTTTTAGGATGTGGCTATTGTACTACCCAGCTTGAACCTCTAGACCTCTTCAACTGCCCTCCTTAGTTTATGGCATCTTCTGCTAAAATTTCTATTGATTCCTCTCAAGCATTTTTCCTCCTCTCTGGATGACCTCTTTCTTCTGGATTTCTCTTGCCACATCTTTGCTTTGATCTTCTCTGTTCTGCCGGGACCTTCTGTCAGATGCATCCATGCCCTCTTGACCGTGTTCTTACTGAAGAGTAACCCATTTGTAAGCACTGAATGTTCACATAAATACACTAGAAAGTCCACACACAGAGTCTGGGGAGACAGTTCACAATGAAGACCTGCGTTTATGTCTCCAGTATTAAGCGTTGTACTTCATCCCTGTACTACCTGGCTTTCTTCAATCTAAGCCTCCGTGTCTTCCATAAATAATGATCCAGTCTTTTCCAAGCTTAAAGAAGGCTGTCACCCAATGACATGAACTTACAGAGGAGTCCAGTGACATATGTCGCTTACAGGAATTTTGACTGCCATTGACCAGCACCTCCTTTTCCTCCTCCCTCTCTTTTGAGACAAGTTCTCACTGTGTAACCTGGGTTGGCCTCAAATTTGTGATAATCCTCCTGTCTCTGCCTCCTGATTGCTGGGGCGACAGGTATGGCCACCACATCCAGTGTGGTGTGTGCCATCTTATTTTCTAATCTACTGTCTGCCGCTAAAGCAATGCTTCTCGACCTGTGGTGACCCCTTTGGGGATGGACCAACCCTTTCACAGGGTTTGCCTAAGACCATTGGAAAACAGATATTACCTTTCATAACAATAGCAAAATTACAGTTATGAAGTAGCAATGAAAATAATTTTATGATTGGGGGTCACCACAACACAAGGAACTGTATTAAGGGTCACAGCATTAAGAAGGTTGAAAAACCACTGCTCTAAAGTATCCCTAAACCCTGATTCTTTTCCAGGTTCTGGTGCACATTGGTTATTTTTCTATTCCTAGGATAGAACACCAAGACCAAAAGCAACTTACAGGAGAAAGGGCTTATTTTGGCTTTCAGTTCCAGAAGGATAGAGTCTACCATGGCAGAGAAGGTGTGGCCACATAGAGAAAACACGGTCCATCACACTGTCATCCACTCCCAGGAAGCAAAGAGAGCAAACAAGGAGTGAGGCTACCAACTCCCAAACCTACCACCAGCGGTGATAGACGTCTGTCAGCAAGGCTTTACCTTCCCAAGGCTCCCAACCTCCACCAAGAATGCCACCAACTGGGAACCAAGTTCAGATAAATGGGCTTATTGAAGACATTTCTCATTCAAACCCGTGCAGCGTGGCTGGATTGCCTACTTACGATGTTCTGTCTGCTGACCTTTAGGTCCAGTTTTCTCTATGGTCATTTACATATCACACATTTGTTTCCATTTTTCCTCACTGGTACAACTGTTTCTTGGCTGCCCTCTTACAGCTTACGTTTCAGGGAATGGGACACTATAAATAAGAATGTAACATGTGGGGAATGACAAAAAAAATAATATGTGAAGAAAATGAGTTAGGATGAAAGGGCTGGTGGGTGAAGCCGATGTGCTGCCTTGATTGGGGAGGTAAGTGGCATTTAGATGAAAGCCAAAAAAATCAGAGGAAGGGGTAATGTAGACATGTATCCCAGAACAAGGGCATTCACATGCAAAGAACAGAGAGCCAGAACATGGCCAGTGCATAAACATTGTGTCAGAAAGGAGGAAGTCGAGTTGGAGAACAGTGATGGTGATAGGTTTAATGGGGCCATGCGGGCCATGGCAAGGACAGGGGTGTTCATCCAAGTATAGGAAGACACTGATCGTCTTCAGTAAGGAGTGGTATGGTTGGGCTTACTCTCTTCGGCCAGTATAAGCTCCTCTCTTACTCTTGATCCTCGTGAGCCTTGGTCCTTTCCATTGCAATGTTTGTGAATTTTGGATATAGTATGCAGATAAAAACGAATCTTTCTAGAGGGTAGGACACTCAAGATTGAATCCAGGCCTCATGCATGCTATGCAAGCAATGCCCCACCGAGTTACGTCCCCTGCTGTATTAGCCCTTTTTACAGTTGGAGTAGACACAGAACAATCTTCCTAGAGATCCAAAAGCATGGGTCACCATACCCAGTCCAAGCAAATGAACTCTCCATTGTGGATCTTGACAGTCTCCTGTGCATCTTGATAGTGACACTGAGACGGAATATATTCCTAGATTTTCTCATTTCATCTTCCCCTTGTCTGCTTGTCCCAGAGTCCGTTTGCTCAACGAAACATTTGGAGAGGTAAGGGGACTTCACCATTCTCATTCATTCTGAGGGTCTTCCATTGTGCCACAAACATCTGTATCACTCCCACTCGAATAGCATAGCTGTCAACTATCAGCTCCAAAGTCTCCTTTTAAGAGAAAGCCCAGGGAGCCAAGCTCTTCCTCACCTGATGATGTGTGCTGGCACCAGGGTTTTGCTCTAAGTATTAGAGTCTTATGCTATATAAGCCTAGGCTATAATCTTATTGCTATATCAACTTACACATAGAGAATTATGTCTGATTAATGTGCTGTACAAAACTCTGTAGACTAGTGTTGTGGGTAATCTTTTTGTACACTGTAAAGATGTGTCTCTGCCTAAGGTACCTTCTGTTTGGTTTAATAAAAAGCCGAATAGCCAATATCTAGGCAGTAGAGGATGGGTTCAACTTCTGGGCAGAGAGAGGAACTGGCAGGAAGAATCTAGGTGTGCGGATTTCACCAGCAGATTTGGGGCAAGTTGCACATGCCATACTGAGGAAAGGCAAAGAGCCACGCGGCAGAGCGTAGATGAAAAATACAGTTTAATTAAGTTAGTTAATTAACTAGGTTAATTAACCTAAAAATCAGGTTAATTAAGAGCTTGTCAGAAACAAGCCTAAGCCAAAGGACAAGGTCTTATAATTCATAATAAGTCTCTTTGTCATCATTTGTGGGCTGGTAGTCCTGACAAGAAAGTACTACTACAGACTGCATTGCTTATGAAGCACAAGTCATTTCTCCAAGTTCTAAAAATCTAAGATCAAGACATCTGTGGATTCAGTGCCTGAAGAGAGCATGCACCCTGGCTCATAGAGGAAGGTGGGAAGAGGAGTAAGAGGAGGAGGAGGAGGAGGAGGAGGAGGAGGAGGAGGAGGCAGCTCTTTTACAGTCACATTCATGAGTGCTCTGACTTCACGGTCCAGTTTGTCCTAAAGGCCAACTTCAAGCACTGTCATCTTCATCACTATGTTCTCAGTCTTTGGGTTTTGGTGGACATGCAGATTTTCAGGATAGAGCAAAGAGCTGCAGTCTTTGATGTGTTAGGGACTAACATTCATGTTTGGATTTAGAGTCCTCACCTCCAAACATTACTAAACTCTGAAGATGACTAACTAAAGCCAAACGGTTCTCACAGTCACTGTGGTGTGGACACACAGCAGCTTCTGGGTGTATGCATGATAAACCTGGGTCTAGCATTAATTTCATGACTGTAACAGTCATTATGAGACAGACATATTCACCTATGCCAAGTCATGCCGCTGCGAGCTTCTCTGAAGGGCAGAAGGAACTGGAGAGGTGGCTCAGCAGCTAACAGCATGCACTGCTCTTACAGTGGAAATCCAAAGTGGATTTCCCGCACACGCCCATCGAAAGCCTCGCAGCTGCCTGTAACTCCAGCTCTAGAGGATCTGCTGCCTCTGGCTCTTACACACACCTTCACTCAAGTGTACACACACACACACACACACACTTAAAAAACAGACAATTCTCAAAGAAAAAGCAATATGGTAGATATTGCTATTACTCATGTGTAGTCATGTAGCTTTTTCCTTGAAACCCGGTGAGTAATGGTTGCCACTGGACAGTCAGGAGAGTGGGAGGCGTTACATGAGCGGGAGGGGAAGCCATGACTGCAGAGCGCAAGGCTTTCTCTTGCGGCTGTAGGGTCGGTTGTGTAGAGGCCTTGGCAGAGGGCCATGGAGTGCAGACAATGACCTCATTGCAGATCCCTAAGACATGAGCATTCGTACCTTGTCATCACACACAACTAAGCCCACATGAAGCACCTCACCTTCTCTTCATCATGGCGGTGGTGACTGATGAGGATCCTCCTAACAGTGTGGCCTGCCAGGGAAGACAGGTCTGTCTGTAGTTTTATTTTTTTATTA